CAACCAAGTTACTTCATTCATTTCTTTTGTTAAACGTCCTTTAGGATTACTACAACATAATTGAGAAACAATAAAGCATAGATCATCGCAAAAAATGGACAGCGAATCCAAAACATGTTTCGGATGCGTCAAGAGGGTCTTCGCGGCAAAGACGAAGATTCTCAGGTTAGTCATTTTACCACGTGACTTTGAAATTCCCAGCATAAAGCACGGGGTTCGACCATTCTCCATAAGAGGGAAGAAGATACAACCATGCTCAAAGAGATGGAAGATAGTGGAAAGAGACTCTTCCACCGGGAGTAAATTGCAGGATTTGAGAATCCATAAAACTTTGACCCTCTCTTCCGGGGATACATGAATCTAACCGATTGATAAAATGAAGCACTATGAAGGCGGATTGGTCTCTTCAAGCTCGATTTGAAGGATTTCGATTTTAACGAGTTCTGTAACAATATGTCTAAAACGACAAGAAATGCGATCAATATTTGCAGGGATAAATCACGAGTGTCATTATACCTGATTAGATAACACTCATGATCTGATACTAGGCCTTTTTCTTGGTGAGGGCCCAAATGATTTAATCTCACTGGGCCAGAAAGCCCATGCCTCATAATGACCCAGCCCATTAGATTTTTAGGATTGAGGAGGGGGAGAGGAGATCTCGCATAGGTGTGGAGCAGGGGAAAGGACGGCGGCGATATATGGCCTGAGTCATAGCGCTCCGTCGGAGGGGATGACCGGAGACAGTCGGTCGTCGCCGTGACGATCCTCACAACAGAACAGAAACTCACGAACGATGCGAGGGAGATTGTCGGTGAGATCGACGACGGCGGGGTCGTCGACATTGGATCTGGGCAAGGGAGAGACTCTTGCCGACAACATATAAGGTTCCGTCGGGGGAAGAGATGGAGGCGAGGGATCGGTGAGTAAGCAGGGGATTGAAGGCACGAAAGCAAAAGGGGCTATGTGTACTCACGCGCAAAATTCGGTGGGTCCGGTGGGTCAGGTGGCTCCGGCGGCACCAAGCGGTTCACGGGCGCCGGACCAGTCATCCACGAACGTCGAGCTGGAGCTTGAGTTGTCATCGCAATGGAGTGGAGCGGGGAGACAAACATCGGGGACTCACACGCGCACGTCGTCGCCGGAGTTAGGGGAGCTCACCGGAAACTCGACGGAGGGTAAGCTCATTGGCTTCCTCGGGAAGAGTGCCAGGGAGCGTTTACCTTTTTAACAACCTACCACCTAAATATGCATTGTTTATAAATACATAATGTATCACCCAATGAAAAATTTCTTTTAATCATTATTTACGCATCTCGTGTTTAAATCATTATTTACGCATGCATGCTTACATATCGAACTCACAAGCAACTCTTCAAAAACATATCAAAAGATGATATCCCTTAATCTCTTTTCTATCACTGATAGATCAATGCCGATCCAACTTGCGATAGCCTGCAAATATTCATTTCCGTGTTTATTCGTACATAATCAAAGTTAGTTCAAATCTATTTTTAAAAGACGTGACCCATTCGTGTGCATGTACATACCTGGGCTATGATTGTATAAGCGGTCTAGTTCATGTTCTTAAGATTAGCAGTCATAACTCGAGCTCCTTCTTCTCAAAAATACTCATAATCTCGTGTAACCTTACTTTTTTCATGTTACCACTGATAATCAAATTCATCTCTATGATCGAATCCCTCGAACAAATACTGAGTTTTGGTACAAGAGATACCCTTCTGAAAGATTCCGGACCTCTCCACCTATCAATGATTTTTTCTTCTCCTTCAAATACTTTATCTTCTCTTTCATTTGGATCATGTATGATGTCGCTTCATCTATAAGTTGAGCACCGGTAACTGTTAGAGCCAGTTAGAAAGGAAAAAAACCAAGTTATATAATCACTTTCATGTTTTTCGCATGAATGTGGTTATGATCAATATAACTAAAACGTAAATAGCCTATTTTCCAATCAATATGTAACTAAAACCTAAAATCAATATATAATCTGACGTTCGAAGAGAGACATTAATCCTCCAAGTAATCGGAGAATTTTTTATTATTATATATTAGTTTTTTTACATGTAAGTACTATAAAAAATTTAAAATGTGATGTTAATTATACTTTTGGTATTTTGTTATTTTCTAGTATTTTCTTATAAAAAAGGTAATTTTAACATTTTTAATTGAGCATCCTAACCAAAGAGTCATTCATTTTCGTTGATCAATGATTTGGCTAAAACCAGGAGGCTCGGGTGGTTTTGGCCACAAAAAGGAAGTGCATACATCTAGCAAAAACTGTCTAGTATTCTATGTTGTATTGTATATACACATAAAATACATGGACAATGTACAATATATATAGAGAGAAAGAGATACTAGGAAGGGGTAGAGAGAAAATCGGACCCTATGAGTGGGAGAAACATGAGAAGAGGGTATAAAGAAGAGATCTTTCATGCGCGTTCGTCTATTTTTTTCTCTGAGGTTTCGTTGTTCTCTCAACGACAATGAACTTCCTTCTCCAATTCCTCTCCATTCTTTTTGTTTTCTTTTAACCTTTTTTTGTTACTATGGTTTTTTTTTTTATAAACCGTTGGAAATTTGAAATTTTGACTCATAATCTCTTCGGTATCTAAAAACAGTCTTTCGATATTCCGATTTAAAAAATAACTATCTGTGCCAAATGATGTTTGAACCTGGGACACAAAAAAACCAATCTCATTGTGTTACCACTATACCACCACTCATTTTATATTTTTGTTACTATGTTTCTCTTCTTTCAAATCCATCTATCTATATATAAAAAGATGGAGGCAGAGAGTCACAAATCTCAATTTTGAGAGAAAGGGCCACGTAACTCAAAGGAACTTGTTTCATCAAAGTAGTTAGATAATAGTAGGATAGGATGATACGATGGAAAAGGAAAAATGAAAAAAAATATTCAAAAAAAAATATCATAATACTATATTTAAAAAAGAAAACTTTCGTCGTATTGTTATTTGCAAGGAATTTCATAAGGTTTAACAGAACTGCTACATTTTGGTATTTGATGTTTGAGTCGGAGATCTTGATAAGATTACTTCTTTCAGTATTCGGAAAATTCACGAAAAGTTAATATTATTAATGTTCCACTTCAATATTGAAGTTCGGCTGCATTATTTATCAGATCAAAATCAGTTCCTCATATAACATGTGCTACGAGGGTTACAAAAATAATTACGTGTAAAAGATGGAATCCATGGTGAACCTATTTTATTTTGGATGTCTACAATGAGTCAATGATGATGTATATTAGTTATCGACCATGTTCACTTCATATTCAAATGATGTTTTTCAAAGAACAAAATTGATATTTTGTTTTTGTGATATCAATTTTGTAAAATGGAATAAGGTGTAGAATTAGACCCTCAATACAAATACCTACCAACTCGAGATTTTTGGAATCACCCAAGACATCTCAAAGCTTTCCTCTAGATCTCAATGTCATCTCTTTTGTCCATGTATCGAGATAGATAAACTCAGAGGCTGATAACCTTGCAAAATCAGCTCTGCTTTGTGGACCGGTTTAAATCCGGTTTTATGAATGAAATCATTAATTTTCGATAAAAAAAAAAGTTTTTGTGATATCAAAATAGAGTACATAAACCACATCTTTCAAAACACATATACTTCCAGAATATCACATCATAG